AGGATCCTTCCATCTTTTTCTCGGACTGGGACCTGTTCATATGCGTTCTTGGCAGATGATCCAGAAGTGGTTTGGCATTGCCTTCTTCTGTGTGTGAATGGAGTAATTGTTGGGATGCCACGGAGGAAAACTCCGTGTTGCCTAGACCACGGCCTTGCCCAACACAAGTTATAAATTCGGGCAACGCCGGGAATCGAACCCGAGACCCCAGGATTACAAGGCCAGCGTTCTGACCGCTAGACCACCGTGGCGTTGATTGTTACACTATCTATCCTTATATACGTATTCTGGCTAATAGATCGTATGCATCTACATTTACTGGATGTGGCGAATCTATAAAAACTCTGTACAACTCACACTTTTTGTCCGATTTCAGCCTAATCATGTGTGATGTGTAAGATTACTGATCTATCACTGTAAGTAAAGGATGTAGACTGAGGATACCCTGATAACGGGAAACTGAGGAGATACTGAGAACCAGCAAGTGACAGGAGATTGTATAACACTGCATAGCAAGGAGTTTCATAATTTTTATTCTTCACCAAATATCATTACGATGACGAAATCAAGGAAGGTAAAGTGAGCAGGGCATTTAGCGCACAAGATACAGATAAGAAACGTACAATTTTAGTCACAAACCCTGAAGACAAGAGAACCCACATTGACCACGGAGGGTAAGACACAATAATATTAAAATTTGTCATAAAGAGATAGCATGCAACGGTGCGGACTGGATTCACCTGACAGGGGCTGATGAAGGGCTTTTGTAAACACGGAAATGGATTTGGTATTTCTTGAGTCTCTACATCATGTCAGCACAGTGTAAAGACGGTCTCCGTGATAGGGATGCTCTCAACGCAAGCAGTTTCGACAAGCACCATGCAACAGCAGACAGCAGACCTCTTATCCGAATGAGGATGGAAACGGAAGGAGTCATAATCTCATACATTTCCACACACAAAAACCAACAGCTTCAAAAGTGATAAAGGATTCCAAGTTCTATTAAATTTCACCATTAACAAATTATATTAAATTATGTAAATGACCTTGAAACTATTGAAGCAGACAATACAGGGCCGAATTATTCGGGACCAATTCATATAAAAAATTGTGTCCCTCTTAAAAGGATTTAATTGCACAGAAGATAATTATCTGCTCTCTTATGAAACTAGAAGGATCATTGGCGTTATAAGAGAAGTGTGTCACTAGATCCTATTCAGTACTAATAATATAATAGTTTTCTCCTCTTTTAAATATTTAATAAACTCAAAAGAGTCGTTGCATTTGTCTCAGAAATTGTGTCCCTCTTAAATTAGTGTTCTGTCTGACGACAGGTCCATATGAACAGGATCCTTCCATCCTTTTCTCGGACTGGGACCTGTTCATATACGTTCTTGGCAGATGATCCAGAAGTGGTTTGCCATTGCCTTCTTCTGTGTGTGAATGGAGTAATTGTTGGGATGCCACGGAGAAACCGGGGAAGAAGCCCCCGGAGGAAAACTCCGTGTTGCCTAGACCACGGCCTTGCCCAACACAAGTTATAAATTCGGGCACCACCGGGAATTGAACCCGAGACCCCAGGATTACAAGGCCAGCGTTCTAACCGCTAGACCACCGTGGCGGTAGATCTTTATTACGTATTTATTTTACGTTATGACTTATTTTTGTTATTAATTATTTGTTATTTGTTCAAGGAAGTAAAAAATCAAGGTGTATAACAAACATTGTGCATTGGTGTTATGTATTATATAGAAACTTGGCCTCTAGCTATACATGCAATTAACCACAAAAGCTGATGTGCCTCTAAACCCACACACAAAGTATTGATTTACGATGTCTGAGAAAATGTGCCAGATAGAATTTTTTCTCCAAGAGGGGCGGAGAACACAAGGAGCTTAAGAAATTACATAATTCGCCTAATGCTTCAAAGACAATTAAATAAATTAGGATATGATGGGTGCCCCACGAGGGATTTATTTTTCTTCTCGAAGGAGGATTAAATAAATTAGGATATGATGGGTGCCACACGAGGGATTTATTTTTCTCCTCGAAGGAGGGCTTGGGAAAAACTGATTGGAATGAACGACTTCTAGAGCGAATTTAATTTCTTTCCGATTATATCCAATATACGGAATTGTGGTAAAATTTCAACATTGGTCCAAGTTACTAGTGCCAGCATAAGCCATAAGAATTCACTGGCATTTCAACTTTGAAAATGTTTTAAGAGTTTGCTCTTGGTGAGCTGTTATTTCATCTGCACTGAAGACCTTTCTAGGTAAGTTAACGACATGACGTCATCGTGTCGATGGACACAGCCAGCCAGCCAAGAAATTCTTGTTTAAAAAGAACACACAGGAAGAAATCGCTCGACAGATCGTAGCTGTCCACGGGGAAAGAAGAAGGAAGCCCCACTGAATTTAATGCACTTGTCTTCGTATGAAAATATATGAAACACAATCAGACACTTTTTCCTCGAATCAATGACATTACCAATACGAATCAGCATATAACTGTAGGGATAAAGCTTTCACAATTAAAGAAGAGTTTGTTTACAAATCAGCGGAAATATCTGTTGATTTTAATACTGAATTATTTTTGAGACAAACATTGAAAAAAAAGGTTGTCGGTAAAAATTAGTTATTATTTTAAAAAAATAAGTTACGTATGATATGACATTCCTACATGTAAGACTACTTACTTTAAATATACAGTCCTTGTAATAAATAATTGTTTTATGACTTCAGAACGAAAGGTATTAAAAGCAATCGAAATTCACACCTTACTATGACTCCTATTTAAATAAAACTTAAATGGTATAATATCGATTGTTTATTGCTCTCCCCATTTTCTGTTTCCTTATCAGTTTTTCAGTGCATTAAAAATTGCTCATTATAGATAAAACTGAACAGAACAAAATTTTTCTCTAAAAATTTCTTTCAAGTGAAACAATTTTCAGAATTGTGTATATTTAATGAAATACAAGGAAAACATTTTCTTGCCGCGTGCAATGTGAAGTAGTTTTGCATCAGTGACTTTCTGCTCTCTGCAGTAAAACAATATCAGGGTCAATTAGGTCTGCTAAATCGCAATAACACGCTCTTTTGTTAACGCTAGTGTAATAATTTATTTAACATTGAACTCTTTCATCAAATACCATCTTGCGTGAAATCACTAAAACAATTCGACCATCTCTACAACACTGTCAGATGAAAGGGATATGTACTTTCGAAACGTTGGCAACCCTTTAAAAGACTTCACGGTATCACAAATCAGCAGACCGCATTGCACAGACTCAACAAAGTTATCAATTAGAGTGGTCGCTGTAATTTACGTTCAGAACCATGCGATGGGAGAGATTGTGTACAAAGGCGTGACAAATGTGATTCATGAGAGGGACTGTACTTTGCCCTAATTCTGTGTGGAACTTAAAATTAGCCAGGAAGTAATCTGCGCACGCGCTATACATATTATGTTTTAGTGGCAGTTCGCCTACATCGAGTGTCAGCAACCTCTATGGTTTGTTCCTGAAATAGCGACCTCTTGTTTCTGCTCTGACGAACTAATATGAATACTTATTTCCCTTTCAAGACTCGAAATTTATCCTTTAGTCTTCTTCTGATGACACAATGATTTTTGTTTTCGCGGGGTTTAACTGTGTATTATTAAAATATATTTATCCCACCGACTCTACCTTCATTTCTCCGTACGATGTCAAACGTTTACCAGAACATGTCTTCTGTAGCAGAACCTAAAGGTTTCCAACACCGCTAATACCAAAGGTCACCTTTTAGCACGATCCTAGACTAATTCCGTTTACTCCCACTCTTAACCTCCTGAGCTTCACCACCCGAACAAACGTTATGAAGGAATTAACATTGTCCCAGATGTATCTTATTTGCATTACTTATCATGAGATACAGGCTACAAAAGTTTCAGGCGGCTGGCGATCATGTACTGACAGAATTCAATTATTTCTTATTTAATGATTAAAAGCGACGGTTGGGATCAAACACAGGACTTTTTTAGATACTAGACTAGCGCGCCATCACTACACCACCGAGGCGGCCAGGAATTACTCAACTGTAACACAAACACAGGCTCTTCTACTAGTAATAACAATACCAACATCACTAGTACCGCCAACAGATAGCGTAAGAAGTAAGAGTCAATGTCAAAATATACACGTAGTAATTTTCCGTTCTCTTTTACTTTTATTCGAACTTTCAAGCCCTGTTTTGGCACTGCAAATGCTTCGGCTGTTTTAACATGGCCTGTGGACTACAAGAAGTGGTACCATTTCCTTTTACCACAAGTGTGTGTGTGAACTATTCTCGATAAACATTACAGACCTACTTTCTGCCTTGGAGCGACGCCAGCTCCACCATCACGGCAAATACTGAATGATACAAAATGCTTCCGCGAACTGCTCATGCGCTATAATGCGCCTGCGCTGCCGCCATTAACCCAACCCCCGCGGCTCAACAGCTGCCAGTCCTTCGGTCTAACCGCGTGCAACGCGCAGACGTATTTTGTTTTCTTGCATATTTAGTTACGTTGACGGGACACGCAGCACGCATGGAAGAAATGAGGAATGATTACAAAAATGTTCGAAAGCTTCAAGACAGGTGAATCAAATGATTCCAAACCATCTATGCCAATGTCTAATAAAAACTCCCTTAGCTTTAAATTTTCTAATATAATTATATGTTCCATCACACGTTCTACAGTTCTCGTCGCCGTCCTCATAATACTTGAAGCTCTTAAATTCGTAATTTTCGCAAATTCATCTGTCCTTGACAAACATTCTCCTCACCTCTTCTCCTATACTCATAGAGTCTGCCTGTGCAGTTACAAATGTGTAAAATACGTAATAAAGTTCCAGTTGCTCATTAAAATCTTAACACCGCAGAGATATCTTACTGATATCTTAACACCTACATAACCAGACAGACTACATATGGAAACCAAGTCATAGACATTGCATTCAAGAAAAATCTTTTTATTATTTCAAGTCTTAAAAAGATAACTTGTGTGTAGTTTGCGTCATAACGTCATGTTTGTATTCAAGGCAGAGAGGCTGCCAGCACACACGAGGAAGTGACTAACGCCTGATGTTGAAAATCTTGCTACCTGTGCTCTGGCGGCGAATTACTCAACCAAATCCTCGATCTGCAAGTATACAAATCCATAACCGAAATTCTTGTTTCCCACACCATTTTCTTCGCCCACGAACTAAACAATCGTAATTATAGTAACAAAGAAGTTAATAGCAGATTAATTCGAGGAATAAAATTGTGCTATCTAAAGAAAGTATAAATAAATACCAAAGTTAAACTTTTAATTGTTTAGCGTAAGCGTAAAAGTTTGTCTCTCAGCTTCTTTCAATATAGCAGGGATAGATGTTCACCAAGTGATGACTGTATTTGTTATTCTCCCTGAAGATGGTTGTACAGTCAAAAACATGTGCTGATTAAGTATGTTTCCAACTCCAGACTGTATTTAATAATAAGAAATACGAAATATGCTGTTTAACAAGTAATACAATGACATACTGATTTTTAAAATTAGTCACTCATAACAAGTGTATGATTAGTCAACGTCTAGATTCAAGCGTTTGTACACGACGTAAAAACATTTCATCTGCCCACCTATACATAATGGTTCATAATTTAAAAAAAATGAAAAATTTCCCGTGGGCGCCATGATGTTGTTTTAAATATGAAATGTTAAGAAATAGATAAATAAATAATTCTCTGGATGTGTAACCGAAAACTGTAATGCAGAAAACAAAAGTCCTCCACTCAAACCTCATCTAAGCTAGTTAAATCCTGTCTACATCATTATAATCATGTTAGTATCCAAGTTTCTTCACTTGGTAGCTCCCAAACGAACCTACAATCATAAAAAAGTAATTGTTCCTACAACAAACTCTATCAGTGTTTCACCTAAAACGTTCACAACGTCACCACGTGTGATTCGTGTAAAATAGTGATAGTAAACGCATGGGATTTGTACTATTTTCAATGTCAATATCTTCATTCCGAGTGCCATAAATATCGCACTGTTCTTGCACAGAAACTAAGATTGACAATTTTGTTATATTTACGTCTTGTTTCGCACTAAAATCCGGTTCTATCATCCTCGCCTTTGCGTTCAATTTCACTACAGATGCACAGCATCGCCTGCCAACAACCCAAGACTACGCGCTGAACACGTGAGGCAGAGAAGTTGCCTGTATTGCAGGCGCTACACTAGATCGTCGTTTCTTCGACAGCAGCCCTCTTCCAGATTTATCTCCAAAGCTCTCCCTTGCACTTCAAAATTAAATATATGATTGATTATATTTTTTGATGAATTTATCAACGTCGGTAATTTCAATGAATTAAAACAACTCATCCTACAAAAATAAAATAAGTTGGCGAAGAAGCGTTGCGTATCATTTGTGGAACTAAATTCTAAAATATTGTGTAGACGAACTTCGGCTGCCAGCATTTTGTGAACTTCATTTCGGAAATTTGTACTATATTTATCGATTTTCAACAAGGAAATAAAGCACTAAAGATAATTTACTTTCTCGAATAGCAGCATTTGTACTTTGGAATGTGTTTTGTGGAAAGTCTATTTGAAATAGAGTGTTTTAACTGAGTTAGTCTCTCTTATTTCTAGCAGATGCGTATGTGGGATTTACGGCGAACGAAGCTATAATGAGGCAATTTCTGCACGCCATTCATTTATCAGTGCACATTCGATGAGCGACAGGTGAAACCCGCACAGCACGTAACCACAAGTTCGGTTCACACTTGGAACATCAACTCTGATCAATCACTTTGCTGGATTTAAGGTAAGGAGGAAGTTTACTTTTAACCAGCAACACAGCGGTGGTTAGGAACAGTAATCTATGTATGTTAGCCACTAGTTCCAGGTACGCTGTTAGTCCAGACACGCTTAATTACTTGTACAACTCATGTACTCACTACAGAGTCACGGAGATTAGTCAAAAGACAGACAATTAACACACAGACCACGGTGTCAACTCACCGTCTACGTCACTGTTGACGTCACTATCGGTTGCGCCGGCGAAGACCAGGAACTCCTGCAGATGCTTTGGTAGCTGACTGACAGAAGTACCCCCACCACCGACCCCGTGACTCGCCCCTCCACCCGATATGACGTAACAATTGTCTGTCCCACTCTCCGTTTCGTTCTGTGTCCCATCATCGAACACTTCTTCGCACTCGAGTCCTAGCTTGTCCATTCTCTCCCGCACTTTTCCCATGAACTCGTTCTCCAGCTGCTGTACAGTTGCGGCAGGGGCGGCGTCTTTTCCCTCCGACGCCGGGGCTTCGTCACGTGGAACAGATGACAGTCGAATTACTTTCTGTCGTCGTCTCTGAGATCTCTCTGCGACTTCGTTCATGTACTCTAAATACATCTGTTGCCGGAAGATCTCGCCACCTGTCACTAGAGATTCTACAGGAGGTGGCATTGACTTTGGTCGTTGCAGTGATTTGCAATGCTGATGCATCTGCCTAACGTTCTTCTCCACTTCAGTTCCCTTGCGTCCTACAATCGATTGATCGTCTTTCGATACTCGTGTTGTGACACTGCTATTAATAATCGCAATGTCTCCTTTCTTCGATATTCGATAATTATCAGCATCGAATCGACGTTCTACATGCTGTTCTTCCTGAACGACAATCGATTCCTGCTTTTGTTCTTCTCGTACAGGAACGAATATTTCTTGCGTTTCCAATTCTCTCTCTGTCGATTTTTGTTTGCTTTGTTGTTGGGGCAGTGGAGGTCGTGTTTTGTTAACCATCTGTTGACGTTGCTGTCTCTGCTGTAACAACTTTAACTGTTGCTCGTGTCGTTCGTCATCACGTGCTGAAGTTGGCAGCATTGGTGGTTTTACTAACTTCTGTTCCGGTTGGTACGCCTGCTCTAATTGTCTCTCTGGCAAAGAGAATCGTCTTTCTAAAATATCCCTTTTTAATTTCTGGTATTCTTTCATACAGCTGATTTCTTTCTTCTGTGTTTCTGGTTTAGGTGATGGGTCCTTAATGACCCGTCTAATGGGTCCTGGTGAAGACTGTGTACTCACACAAGCGCTGACGGGAGGAGTCGAGTCCTTGCTTTGTGTACCACCTGTGTCTTTATTGGTTCCGCCACCATAACGAACCAGGTGAAGCCAATCAGAGAGAGAACGCACTTTAAGTCTTTCCTTGTTATTCTCATCACTTACGCCCTGTCCGTTCCAAGACGAAACATTCTCTTTCCTATTTCTGCTTCCTTCAATCGTATTCGACCTTGAAGAAGTCTTACCATAATCTATGGATTTTACTGTTGGCGACTGCAGGTCGCTGTCACCGGAACTCGGACTTGGGTGACTGGAAGGTCTTTGCTCGAAGTCGTTTTGATCGGAAGTGCAGCAGAACGTTGCTGGTCTTCGGTGTTGCTGTAAGAATCCCAGCATGGCGACCTGGTGCTCGTACGCTTGAGGCAGAGGAGGTAACGGTGGTGGACTGCAGGAAGATGATGGAGGTAAGTGTCTCGTTTGCATTTCTTGAGGCTCAGAGGAAGCTCGGAGAATTGCCAATAGTCGACTTCTACTCGTATCATAACCTCTCTCTTTCTCTCCCCCTCCTTCCTTTTCCTTACCCTCATTTATTCTTAAACCTAGTTCTTTTCTCTCCTCCACGTGTGTACCAACTAACCCGCCTATTACCTCCCTCGTATTCCCCTTGGAGTGTATTTTTGAATCTAATGACGCAAGTAAAGTTCTAAACTTTGAAGGTGGTATGGGTTCAAAAGCTGGAGATGTCTCCCCACTCTCTGCAAATGCCTCAGACGATGACGCCGGTTTCCGACAGCCACATTCTCGATGAAGACACTTATCGCTGGGACAATAATTCGGTAAAGGTGTTTCA